TAAATCTTACTAATATATGCAAAAGTTTAGATGGATGGATATTTGTTAGAGTTTGTGGCCTAAACGGCTGAATGGATTTCGATGAAATCTAGCATTTAAAGATGTAGAGGATAGTTCGGCAGAACACATACTCGTAGACTACTTGCATTCGTTTTTTTAATTCCGCACAGACGGAGTCGTGGGCGAAAGGTATTATTTGAATAATTTTATTTTTAGTAAAGAGCCCAACACTTACGACACGCTTTAGGCTTATATTCACGGTATTAAATTTACGGAGTAGATAATTTGGAAAAAAACTGTCATGCGGGAGTAAGACAAAAACTACAAGCTGACAACATCAAGGAAGCAAGGTTGCCATGGTAACGGTAATTGTTAGCCAATATCAAGCTTTCATTGTCATTTCTGCATTTGAATTTTGACATTTCCTATTGAACATTTCCTAGGTAAAATAAAGTTCTTAGAATTTCAGACGGGTGTCGCACGGGAACAGCTCCTATGTACTAAAAGGCCCAAACTACTTTGAATGCCATTTACCAACATGTTTGTAATAAATAAGTTAATTTTTCATACAATTATTTTCCAGGGAGAAGAAAGACGAGCTGCCACAGATGCAAGTGGGCTTCATAGACATGATCTGCTTGCCGCTGTACAAGGTGCTGTCGGACACCTTCCCCTGGATACAGCCGCTGTACGCCGGCACCATGGACAACAGGCAGCGCTGGCAGGACCTCGCGGAGAAGGTGGAGATGGGCCTCACCTGGATAGACCATGATACTATCGACAAACCGATCGAAGAATTCACTGGTATGTATACTTAGACTGAGAGATTGCTGACAGCAATAAGCCTTTACAAATCTCGTAGTACTTTAGTATATTTATTGTAATACTAGCTGTTGCCCACGACTTCGTCCGCGTGGTATTAGAAAACAGACGAACTATGTAAATAACGTGTCCCTCGGGAACCGGGCATTTTTCGGGGATGAACCTTATCCCATGTGTTTGTTGTGACTTTGTTTTATATCTGTACCAAATTTCAATAAGATATGTTGAACCGTTGCAGAATTATCGAGAACCGTAACATTTCCGGGATAAAAAGTAGCCTATGTGTTTTTCCACACTATCCTCTACATCTGTACCAAATTCCATCAAAATCTGTTCAGCCGTTGAGGCTACAAACTCTAACAAACTTCCATCCATCCATCCATCTAAACTTTCGCATTTATAATATTTTAGTAGTAATTAACAGTAGTAGAGCCTACTTTAAAATCTTCGCACACGCACAGGAAAGGGAAATTTCCTCTTTATGTGCGTCTGCTCCTCCGTCGATTAAGGGTAGGCAACGCATCGGCTATTGAGGATGTTTATGGGCAGCGGTCGCTTCTCCATTTTGGCGGATTCAGGAGGCTGCTTGATCGTTTGCCACCTTATGTTATAAAAAAATGTATGTGTGAAAAAACTATTAAATAATTATACATACTGTAAAATGTGTACCATTCGAACTGTGTATACAATTTATACAGTTTATACAATACTAGCCGTTTTTCTCGACGTCGTCCCCGTGAAATTAAAAAAATAAAATAAAATAAATAGTCTATGTACCTATGTGCCACTTATAACGTATCTTTAAAATGGTGTAAGAATTTGTGAAATCGGTCCAGCAGTTTTTAAGCTATACATACAAAAATGCAAATCTTTCCTCTTTTTTTTTAATAATATAA